ATAGACAAGCACAGTGAGACCCCATCCAGGAATACAAGAACCCCCCTCCAGTAGAAGGAGATCCCCATCCAGGAGGAGTGCAGGGGGATGATTAAAGGGGACCTCTCCCTTCCATCCAGGCATATAGACAAGTACAGGGAGACCCCGTCCAGGAATACAAGAACCCCCCCCCAGTAGAAGGAGACCCCCATCCAGGAGGAGTGCAGGGGGATGATTAAAGGGGACCTCTCCCTTCCATCCAGGCATATAGACAAGTACAAGGAGACCCATCCAGGAATACAGGAAACCCCCCCCCAGTAGAAGGAGACCCCATCCAGGAGGAATGTAGGGGGGTGATTAAAGAAAACTCCTCCCTTCCATCCAGGAATATAGACAAGTACAGGTAGACCCATCCAAGAGTACAGGAACCCCCCCCCCCCCAGCAGAAGAGGAGACCCCTATCCAGGAGGAGTGCAGGGGGTGATTAAAGAGGGCCTCTCCCTTCCATTCAGGGCATATAGAGAAGCACAGAGAGACCCCGTCCAGGAATACAAGAACCCCCCCCTCCAGTAGGAGACCCCTGTCCAGGAGGACTGCAGGAGATGATTAAAGGGGACCTCTCCCTTCCATCCAGGCATGTAGACAAGTACAGGGAGACCCATCCAGGAACCTCCCCTAGTAGAAGGAGACCCCCATCAAGGAGTGCAGGGGGTGATTAAAGAGGACCTCTCCCTTCTATTCAGGGCATATAGAGAAGCACAGAGAGACCCCGTCCAGGAATACAAGAACCCCCCCTCCAGTAGGAGATCCCTGTCCAGGAGGAGTACAGGGAGATGATTAAAGGGGACCTCTCCCTTCCATCCAGGCATTCGGCCAAGCACAGCGAGACCCCGTCCAGGAATACTGGAACCGCCCTCCAGTAGGATACCCCCATCGAGGAGTGCAAGGGGATGATTAAAGGGGACCTCTCCCTTTCATCCAGGCATTCAGCCCAGCACAGCGAGACCCTGTCCAGGAATACTGGAACCCCCCCGGGGTCGGAGCAGCAGGATGACCAATTGTGTGCTCTGGCCAAGGTTGCATCTCCCAGTGCATCCTCCCCACATAATAAAGTTGCACCCCGGGCACCTGCTCCTTTTGCCCCACCCCATTGCCCCAGCCCTCTCTGTGAGGAACCCAGTGAAGGTCCAGGCAATCAGCTGCAGGAGGAAGACCCGATGAAAGCAATGGGAGGCTGCCGTCTCCCATAACTGGTCATGGCCGCTCGCCTGTAAGTGACCGCCCTGAAAGCAGATAGCCGACAAGTGATCAGGCCCATTCACAGATGAGAATGTGGACCCCCACCGTACTACTCTTTTTTTTTTTTTTCCCATCCCTCTACTTATCCTCCTCCCACCCTGTCCTTACTTTAACCGTTCAACTCCCCTTTTTATTTCCTCTTTCTGGCTGCTGGAGGATCAACTGTCGCTGGTGGGGGATCTATTGTTACTGGGGGGTCAATTGTTGGTGGAAGGGATCTATTGCTGAGAGAGGGGTTAATGTTGCTGGCTGCTGGAGAGTCTATTGACGCTAGCGGATCTGGAGGGGATCAACTGTCACTGGTGGGGGATCTATTGGTACTGGGGGGTCAATTGTTGCTGGAAGGAATCTATTGCTGAGGGAGGGGTCTAATGTTGCTGGCTGCTGGAGAGTCTATTGATGCTAGCGGATCTGGAGGGGATCTATTGTCGCTGGTGGGGGATCTATTGTTACTGGGGGTCAATTGTTGCTGGAAGGAATCTACTGTTGAGGGAGGGGGTCTAATGTTGCTGGCTGCTGGAGTCTATTGATGCTGGTGGATCTGGAGGAAATCTATTGTTGCTGGTGGGGGATATATAGTTACTGGGGGGTCAATAGTTGCTGGAAGGGATCTATTGTTAAGGGAGGGGTCTAATCTTGCTGGCTGCTGGAGAGTCTAGTGAAGCTGGCTGCTGGGGGATCTGGAGTAGATCTATTGTCGCTGGTGGGGGATCTATTGTTACTGGGGGGTCAATTGTTGCTGGAAAGGATGTATTGCTGAGGGAGAGTTTCTAATGTTGCTGGCTGCTGGAGAGTATATTGATGCTGGCTGCTAATACCACAAATGATACTTGGCTCTGTATTCTCTATAAGGATCGTTACTGGGAGGTGGGTGAGGGATGGAACCAAGGGACAGAGCTCAGAGGTGGGCAGTGGGGGACACAGACAATAAGGGACTCAGATGTAGGGGTTCCTGCACCTCTCTGATACATAGCTTAATATTGTACACATCCCAATTTGTAGAGTTTACACCAGTGCTGATACCCTGTCTCTTCGACACACACTGGATTTCAAAGAAAGAATAAACATGCACCACAACTGCCTGGATTTACTGAACTGGCATGGCCATGGTGAAAGGGACCTTAGGAAGTTAAAGTGGTTGGAAACCTCAGACACAAAACAAAGCATATCCCTCTCTAGTGTGTACTTGTCTGTGTCCAGAGCTCTAAGTGTCATTTCTATTTGCTGCCCCATTCCTCTGCTATCTGCATGAGTTGCTTCTGCTAAGATTTCCTGACACCAAGAGAAAAATGGTGACAGTGGAGGGACCTCTAGCTGATTGACAGCCTCAGCTCTGTTCCTGTGTGAAGGGGGAGGGGTGTGTCTCTTTTCACCAATTAGCTCTCAGAGCTTTCCTCACTGATCTCTGCAGTGTGTAATTTTAGCTCTTCCCCCCCCCCCCCCCCCCCCCCCCCCCCCCCCCCCCCCTTTTTTTCTGACAGCTCAGACAAGCTTTAGGGTCCTTTCACACGGACGTACCATTTTTTTTTTTTTCTGTTCAGTCACGTTTTTTTCAAAGAAAAAATGGATGAGTTTACATCCATTTTTTCATCCGTTTACATTCGTTTTTTCATTTTTATCATCCGTTTTTCCATCTGTTTCCATCCGTTTTTTCATCTTTTTCATCAGTTTTTCCATCTGTTTACATTGGTTTACATCCATTTTTTATTTGTTTTTTCATCCGTTTACATCAGTTTTTCCATCTGTTTTTTTTCCTCCGTTTACATCCATTTTTTTTCCTCCGTTTACATCTGTTTTTCATCCGTTGACATAAATTTTTCGTCCGTTCCGGGTTCTTTTGCAGATGAAAAATAGGGTTTCTTCCATCCAAAAAAAAACGGATGTTAACAGATGCGGGCATTAACGCATGAAAAAAGATGTTCATCCATTTACATCCGCAAGTCCACAAAAATACATAGGGGTCTGTTTTTCATCCGTAAATGGACAGATAAAAAACGGACATACGGAACGCCCGTGTGAAAGGGGCCTAACTGTCGTAGACAAAAGTCAGGTCACCAGCCTGTCATTAGGGCTGTGTATCTCTCAGGATGGACACAAATACTGGATAGACACAAATTTATTAACAGAAAAAAAGTCTTTATTTACAGTTTATATGTATTTAAACCATGTATTTCGCTGTTTGCCTTTGGATCAGCTTTAAGATTTTTTTTTTAGTTAGAAAAACATTTCTTATATTCAGAAAATGAATATTACTCACAATTAGCTCTCTGATGTAATATAAAAAGACAAATCACACATACATAAGGAAACCCGTTTCGCTCCTGTGCCAGTTCTCTAGGACACAACATCTAGTGTGTGTGGGAAATATACAGGTGTTGGACAAAAATACAGAAACACTACATGATTTGCAGGAGTGAAAGTAACGACATGGCGTTGAAAGCGGGAGTGATGCAGCATTCGTTTGCTTCCGCTGTGTGATGAGACACCTAGCTAACAGGTGGGAAGCCCCACTTTCTTCACTGCTTGAGCTGCTAGTAATACGGAGTCATGTCAGAGCTCACTGAGCTTCAAAGAGGGCAAATTGCTGGTGCCGCTTAGCTGGTGCCTCTGTGACTGAAGCTGCCAATTTGCCAAAGTCCAGTATCAAAAATTATGACGGCATGTACAGTTTCCAAGAGAAAACTTCGTCTGATAAGTATCAGCTCGGTCAACATGGTCAACTGACCAAAAGAGACAAAAAGACACTGCGCAGGATTGTGCCCCAGAATTAGAAAACAACTGCTGCAAAAGTGACTGCAGAGCTCAATCTCAGTCCCGTGCAGACAGAGTCCGGTGAAGACTGAGATTGAGCTCTGCAGTCACTCTTGCAGCAGTTGTTTTCTTATTTCTTGCAACTCGCCCTGTGAATGTTCTGCTTATGGAGTTCCCTCCACACAGTGTTTGTGGACATGTGCTTTGGAAGACAGAGATTGAGCTCTGCAGTCACTTTTGCAGCAGTTATTTTCTTATTTCTTGCAGCTCGCCCCGTCAATGTTCTGCTTATGGCGTTCCCTCGGCACAGTGTTTGTGGGACACGGGCTTTGGAAGACTGAAATTGAGCTCTTCAGTCACTTTTGCAGCAGTTGTTTTCTTATTTCTTACAGCTCGCCCCATGAATGTTCTGTTTATGGGAGTTCCCTCCGCACAGTGTTTCTGGACACGGGCTTTGGAAGACTGAGTTTGAGCTCTGCAGTCACTGCAGCAGTTGTTTTCTTATTCCGGGTCACTATCCTGCACAATGTTCTTTTGTCTTTTTCAGTCAGTTGACCATGTCCACCGCACTTACGCTCATCAGACAACAATTTCCCAGAAACTGTAAACTGTATACGCTGTCATAACCTTTCATACTGGATCTCGCGGCACGGCAGATAAATTGGCAACTTCAGTCACAGAGGCACCAACAATTTGCCCTTCTTGAAGCTCAGTAAGCTCTGACAAGACTCCGTATTACTAGCAGAGTGCACAGTGAATGACAAAAGTGAGGCTTTCCACCTGTTAGCTAGGTGTCTCATCACACAGCGGAAGGAAAAGAATGTCGTCACTTTCATACCTGCAACCATATAGTGATTCATATTTTTTGCCTAACCCCTGTATCTCTCATGATCACAACCTGAAAGCAGCTTTTTGATGAATGACAAGAGATGACTTCAGAGAAAAACATCTCTTGGGCTGTGATCGTGAATCTCCCCCATATGAATCTTCTTGTGTTTGATAAGATTTGACTTCTGCGAAAAGCATTTTCCACACTTCGGACAGGAAAATGGTTTCTCCCCTGAGTGGGTTCTCTGGTGATTCGCAAGAGTTGACCTTTCAGCAAAACATTTCCCACAATCGGGGCATGCAAAAGGTTTTTCCCCTGTGTGAGTTTTCTGGTGGGAAAGGAGGTTGTCCTTCCGAGCAAAACATCGGCCGCATTCAGAGCAGGAAAACGGCTTCTGTCCTAAATGGGTTCTCAGATGATTGGCAAGGGTGGATCGTTCGGCAAAACATTTCCCACATTCAGAACATGAAAACGGCTTCTCACCCGTGTGTGTCCTCTGATGTGAAACAAGATGGTCTCTCCGGATAAAGCTTTTGCCACATTCATTACAGGAAAAGGGCTTCTCTTGGGAGTGAGTCCTTTCATGATTGGCCAAAGTTGATCTTTCAGCAAAACATTTCCCGCATAACGAACATGAATATGGCTTCTCCCCTGGGTGAGTTCTCTGATGTGAAAGAAGATGGTCCTTTAGAATTGACCTTTCAGAAAAACATTTCCCGCATTCAGAACAGGTAAAAGTCTTAGCGTGCCGCTTCTGATGAAACAGAAGGTTCCCTTTCTGGGAAAAACACTTCCCACATTCTGAACAGGAATATGGTTTTACCCCCGTGTGGGTTCTTTGATGTGCAATAAGGTTGTCCTTCCTGGCAAAGCATCTCCCACATTCGGAACACGAATACGGCTTCACCCCCAAGTGAGTTCGCTGGTGATTGGCAAGGGTCGACCTTTCTGCAAAACACTTCCCACATTTAGAACACGAATATGGCTTCTCCCCTGTGTGAGTCCTCAGGTGTGAAATAAGATGGCCTCTTCGGATAAACCCTTTATCGCAGTAAGAGCAGGAAAAGGGCTTCTCTTCCAAGTGAATTCTTTGATGGTTGGCCAGAGTGGACCTTTCTGCAAAACATTTCCCGCACTGAGGGCAAGAGTATGGCTTCTCACCAGTGTGAGTCCTCTGATGTGAGATAAGGTGTTCTCTTCGAATAAAGTGCCTACCGCACTCAGAACAGGAATATGGCTTCTCTCCTGTGTGACTTCTCTGATGTTTAGCGAGAGTTGTGGCTTCCACAAAACATTTTCCACATTCGGAGCAAGAGTAAGGCCTCTCCACTCTATGAGTCTTTTGATGGAAAATGAGATTTCCTCTCAAGGAAAAACACTTCCCACAGTTCGTACAGGAATAAGGTTTCACCTCTGTGTGGGTTCTCTGATGTATAGCAAGCTTGGTTCGGGACGTAAAACCTCTCCCGCATTCCAGGCATGAGAATGGCCTTTCTCCAGTATGAACTTTTTCATGCGTAATGAGATTTGACCTCTGCGAAAAACATTTTCCACATTCGGAACAGGAAAATGGCTTCTCTCCTGAGTGTATTCTCTGGTGGTTGGCCAGAGTTGCCCTTTCGGCAAAACATCTCCCACACTCTGAACAAGGAAAAGGCTTCTCCCCTGTGTGAGTTCGCTGATGTACGGTCAGATGGGCCCTCCATTTGAAAAACATTTGCCACATTCTGAACAGGAAAACGGCTTCTCTATGAAATGAGTCTTGTAGTGTCTAATGAATTGTTGTTTTTGAGAAAAACATTTCCCACATTTGGAACATGAATATGGTTTTTCCACTGCCTGATCTTGCTGGTGGGAGGAAGGTTCTCCACTGTGGGACGAAAATTCTCCAGACTCAGAACATGGGAACAATTCATCCTTTCTCTGAGATATATTATCACTGCTGAGAGTGGAGATATGTGGAAAAGACCCCTCATGTGTAGAGGGATTAGAGGACAGGTCTTCACCACGAAGTACTACATGAAGATTTTGGGTAATGGGGTCTTCTCCTGGACAATCTGCTATAATGTCACCATCTGTTTCGTTTGGACAGAAAACTGGACATTTGTCCGGGTTATTCCAGTCGAGTTGTCTATCTAGAGGAAATAAGAAATTGAGGAGAATAAAAGGGGAGGAGCAGTTGAGATTGCTAAATGTAACTCATTCTGAAATTTAGATATGTAACATCCCTGTAGGCTACTCGAGGAAGACAAAACAGCCTGGTAGAGGACCTGCCCTAGCTGGTGTCTGGACAAGGAAAGAACAGCAATGTGGCAATGAGGTCATCACTCCTGTCAGCAGTCTCCCAGTGTTTTTGATGGACAGTATGCAATAAAGCATGGCTGGATTACAATGCCCCCCTTCCCAGTGTGCTATGTAGAGGATTACAGGAAGGCAATATTAACCACTTCCTGTCCGGACACTTTTACCCACTTCCTGTCCAGGCCAATTTTCAGCTTTCAGCGCTATCACACATTGAATGACAAGTGCGAGGTCATGCAACACTGTAGCCATATGAATTTTTTAGCATTTTTTTGAGACAGATAAAGCTTTATTTTGGTGGTGTTTATTCACCATACCAAAAATTATAATTTTTAAACATTTTTTTTACTTTTTTTTTTATATTATTTATTTTTTTATTTTTTTTACATACTGTCACCCTAGCAGTACAGTGTCACCATGGTGACATTGTACTACTTGTGGGGGGTGATGAATATTTTTTTTTTTTTACACTGATTGCTTTTACACCCATAAAGGATGTAAAAGCAATCATTTCTCCTTCTCTCTAGCTGCATTATTGCAGCCATTGAGAACTACTGAGTGAGCTGTGATTGGTCACAGCTTGCCACATGGTACAAGGCTGTTGTGAATAGCCTTGTACCATGTGACTTCTGTGATCATTCACAGATTTCACACGTAGTAAGCAATGATGTCACAACTGACATCTTGCTTACTACTCTGCATGTGATTAGCCAATCAGCGATCACGTGATCGGGACCTCGCACGGAGGTCCCATCCGACAATCGGTGTTTCACTGTGTCCGGAGGACACAACGGGCACTGGATCGCGGTGCTGCGCGCTCCCAGGGAGCGCGCACAAGCAGGGGGGCCGGAAAAGCCGTTTATAAACGGCCACCCGACCCTGCACTGCCACCGTCCGGCCGTTTATATACAACGGCCGGAAGGGAGGTGGTTAAGAGATATTGTGAAACTTTTATTAGCTAGGGATGCACCAAAATTTCGGTGGCTGAAACGTTTCAGGCGAAAACACCCATTTTGGCCACCGGCTGAAATGAAAAAAGGCACTGCTATAGGTGCCGAAAAAACCCCGCTTCTCACTGCCGCCCACCCACCGTTGCCGCCACCGGCCGCCATTCGGTAGTTCTCAGCCTTACCCCAGAAACCATCGATCCCGGCGCTAGGCATAGAGATGAGTGAATTATGGCCTCCACTCATCTCTATCCCCTTGGAGGACCGGTGATGTCACTTCCCGTTCCGGCCATTTTTTTTTTTTTTTTGAAAGCACTAGACCAGTGGTGGGCAACCTTTTTTTTCAACTGAGCCAAATCTCGCCAAAACCACGATTGAAATTTATTTTGAGAGCCACATTTTTAAAACTGAAAATACATCCCCCATAGTAATTCATCCCCCATATAGTAATTCATCCCCCATAGTAATTCATCCCCCATATAGTACTTCATCCCCCATAGTAATTCATCCCCCATATAGTAATTCATCCCCCATAGTAATTCATCCCCCATATAGTAATTCATCCCCCATATAGTAATTTCATCCCCCATAGTAATTCATCCCCCATATAGTAATTCATCCCCCATATAGTAATTCATCCCCCATAGTAATTCATCCCCCATAGTAATTCATCCCCCATATAGTAATTCATCCCCCATAGTAATTCATCCCCCATATAGTAATTCATCCCCCATATAGTAATTCATCCCCCATAGTAATTCATCCCCCATATAGTAATTCATCCCCCATATAGTAATTCATCCCCATAGTAATTCATCCCCCATATAATTCATCCCCCATATTAATTCATCCCCCATAGTAATATAGTAATTCATCCCCCACATAGTAATTCATCCCCCACATAGTAATTCATCCCCCATAGTAATTCATCCCCCATAGTAATTCATCCCCCCTATAGTAATTCATTCCCCATATTGTGTCAATTCACTTACCTTTGCTCCGCGCATTCTTCTCGCCATGTTCCCGCGCCGTTCTGGTCTTCAGGGCGGACTGTGAGAGGAGAGGAGTTCGTCACGCTGCCCCGCCTACATCCTGGCTGCCCCGCCTACATCCTGACAGCTGCAGAGTCCTGACTTTTGGGGCGGCCGCCCGAGAGGAGGGAGGGGGGCGGCCGCCCGAGAGGAGGGAGGGGAGCGGCCGCCCGAGAGGAGGAGGGGAGCGGGCGCCCGGCACACAGAAGAGCCGCATTTAAGTTTGTAAAGAGCCGCATGTGGCTCGCGACCCGCGGCTTGCCGACCACTGCACTAGACCAATGCTTATTTTTGATCCAATGCTTTACATTGTAGAGGAGAGTTGTGGGGTCTTATTGACCCCGTATTTCTCCATAAAGAGGACCTGTCACTAATTATTTCTATCACAAGGGATGCATGCATTTCTTGTGATAAGAATAAAAGTGATTACATTTTTATTTAAAGGAACAGTGCAAAAAAAAAAATTAAATACATTTTTTTAAAAAGTTTAAAGTGCCCCATCCCCCCGCGCTCGCATGTAGTGGTGAACGCATACGTAGGTCATGCCCACATATGTAAATGGTGTTCAAACCACTCACGTGAGGTATCGCCACGAACTTCGGAGCAAAAGCAATAATTCTCGCACTAGACCTCCTCTGTAACTTTACACTGCTAACCTGTAGAAATTTTTAAAGCATCACCCATGGAGATTTTTAAGTACCGCAGTTTCACGCCATTCCAGGAGCGTGCGCAATTTTAAAGCGTGACATGTTGGGTATCTATTTACTCGCGGTAACATCCCATTTCATATTTTGCAAAACAATTGGGCTATATATTGGGGGTTTTTTTTTGTTTTTTTTTAATCAAAGTGTATTTTTTTCCAAAAAAAAATATTCATTTTTAAAAAACTGCTCATTTCGGTTTTCAGCCAAGTGCATTTTGAATTTTCTGTTTCAGCACCAGAATTTTCATTTCGGTGCACCACTACTAAAATTATAATAAAGTGTACGTGTGAGCTACTATAGTGATATTTAAAAAATACTTATAAATGACTGACTCCTAAAATTGTGATGGTGCCTCAACACAAATACACATACTCATAATAATGTGTGAAGATAAACTAATAAAATATTAAATGTGTCGCGCTCCACCTACTAGAAAATGAAATATTTGCAATATTCTCCCCTTCAAACGTGCATATCATGCACTACTGTGCTAAATAATAAATAATGTAAATATATATTATTCCATAGTGATATAAAATAAATTAAAATAAAAACACCCCTGTGCTACAATTGATTATTGAAAAATATTACTAAATATATTATAAATAAATAAGATCAATAATATAAAAAACTGTAATAAATATAATCAAATTCCATATACGTGATATTATTATTATAAGAATTAATAAACAAGAAACCACCATTTAAGGTGATATATATGTGCAAAACAAAATGTGTATGTGCAAAATACACAAAAAATTTTTTTAAATAAATAATATTAATAATAAATGATAAATAATAAAATAAAGAAAAAACCTCTATATAATCTTGTTGTGCAAGTGATATTGTGTGCTCACCTCACTTATACAGCCCAAAGTTCTAAATGGAGCTATATACTTATTGTCCTTAACTAGACATAATATGAATGTCCCAATTTTAATCTTTATATATTGTGAAAAATATATTGCTGTTGGAATATTTTTCACAATATATAAAGATTAAAATTGGGACATTCATTTTATGTCTAGTTAAGGACAATAAGTATATAGCTCCATTTAGAACTTTGGGCTGTATAAGTGAGGTGAGCACACAATATCACTTGCACAGCAAGATTATATAGAGTTTTTTTCTTTATTTTATTATTTATCATTTATTATTAATTATTATTATTTATTTAAAAAAAATTTTTGTGTATTTTGTATTTTGCACATACACATTTTGTTTTGCACATATATATCACCTTAAATGGTGGTTTCTTGTTTATTAATTCTTATAATAATATCACGTATATGGAATTTGATTATATTTATTACAGTTTTTTATATTATTGATCTTATTTATTTATAATATATTTAGTAATATTGTTCAATAATCAATTGTAGCACAGAGGTGTTTTTATTTTAATTTATTTTATATCACTATGGAATAATATATATTTATATTATTTATTATTTAGCACAGTAGTGCATGATATGCACGATTTGAAGGGGAATATTGCAAATATTTCATTTTCTAGTAGGTGGAGTGCGACACATTTAATATTTTATTGGTGCACCACTACTATTAGCTGTATACAAAAACACATTGGGATTCAGTGTCACACTAAATAGAAAGAAACATAAAATTGTATTTGTACTTTGGATAAAGCCTTCTCCATATTGTTTTTCTCTCTTGTATCTATA